CTACAAAAAATAATAAATGATGCCAGTTCGGACGAGCAATCATCTTCAAAATAAATCTTCCTTCCCATCAGACAAATTATACTTTTTTTTTTTAAATATTTTTTCCGCGAGTCTTGCACTGAAAAATATGATTATGTTTCTACCTGTTTAAGACTATTGTGGGCTTAAGTTTAGACCCAACCGACTAAAAGTGAGTGGCTTAAGAAAGATTTTATTTTTTATTTTTTTTAAATCGACTCGATTCAGATTTAAAGTTTCTTTAAATATTAGCCTTTCTCATGCTTTGTAAGTCATCAGTCGGAGTTATTTAAATGATAATCTATTGCCGGATTCTGTTTGATTTACGTTTTGCTATCAGGTATATACAAACACTGCGCTAATTATTAATGCAATTGACTTATATATGAATTATAAATCTACTTTCTCGTGAGTTTTTTTTACAAAGAAAATGGGAGTTTTTTTTTTATTTATAAATTAAGTTATTGTAGAAAAAAAAATGTTCTAAGTTTATTTATAGTTTCGTCTAAAAAAAATAAATATTTAATACATGCAAATCTTTATTTTCTGTAATATATTTAATACATATATATATGTATATAAGTTATTGATATCTTAAGTAGTCTTGATTTTTTGTAGAGTGCTGTAAATAATGATTTATTACGTTTCAAACACTTTAACACGAGAAAGTCTTCTCTTGCATAATATTGTAAAATTTATGACTGTTTAAAAGATATAATAAATTAATTTAAAATAAAAACGTCAAATTGATGGGCTAACGAGTAAAGTAAATATTAAAAAATATAACAGATTAATGATAAAATTCGTATAAATATCGCTTGACTTATTCAGTACTTATGCAATAATTAAAAATGATCAATTATTGATTTTGTAAGAAATTAGAATGTTTTTATGGTTAAAACTTTTTCTAAATATTTTTTGCATGTATTTAGTATTTAGATAAGATATTATTCAGTAACCATCTCAATAAGATTGCCTCCATCTAGTGAGGACGAACAATATTAGAAAAATATAGATTTTATATAGGTTTTAAAATATTCGAGTTAAGAGGCTATATTCCATCATTTATGAAGGGATATCAAGGTTGAAAAATAATCTTCATTTTATATAAGTGCGTGAAAGTTAATTTTGAGATTGTTTATCCAGCCAACTATTTGTTACGAAACTATATCATGTCATTTAAAACGTTTTCTAATTCGCTAAAAACTCATCAAAATTCCTCCAATGGCTTTAAATAGAGATTAATACCACTTTGGCATTTCTCTATTATCTAATATTTAAATTTTTACAGCTAAAAGTTTTTTTACTATTAGAGACGATACAAAATAGGGGACTATAAAAATTTGATTCGCCAATAATATCAGATTAGAGAGCGACACGCAAACAACCGATATATGTGTGTGTCTGTATGTGTGTTATCGTTCGATCTGTCTACAGACTATTTTCGGTTTTCATGGCTGCATTATATAACAGAGAACATGACACACCTTTAAAAACCAGTCCCCGTCCATTAAAAGCAGAGTGGTTAAGTCCGAGAAAGATGAGGGGAGAAGAAATCGGAAGAAAAAAAAAAAATGCAAACCTAAACAGGACTCTATCGATTTGCGGCATCCGAACTGATAGCCATCCCCAGGGAGGTTTACAAATATTTTAACCGTAGACGGGCCTTAGTCTCGAAGGACGACAGTGGATTCATCAAAATGCCATTTATCATAATTCAGCATTGACAAGCCACTCGGCTGAGTTCGACGGAGGTCTGCAGCTTTGATGTTTAGCCGCAGAGTCCAGGCTGATATACCCCCTCTTCTCGCTCTAAAATGCTGCTCACCCCCATTGGCGGGCGAAAGTTCCTTCTTCTACTTCTGACCATTCTGTTATTTTTTTTTTATTTTTATTTCTTAGAAAAGTTTGGAGATCTATACCTCTCGGGCGCGCTGGCGAAGGTGACCGATTTCTCTCCACATAAGAAAACAATTTTATGGAAAGCATTCTGTCTTATGACGATTGTGTGGGGAGAATTGCGTTTCAAATCGAGCTGGCGCATTAAGACTGTGGGTGTCATGAGAAAAGCTATAATGCGAACTCGGTGGGAAGCCTTGTTTACCAAGATAAGTGTCTGGATAAATGTATGGCTTGCAAGAAAAATACTGACTGAGCAACTTATCCTTCACTGACACTACTGATTAAGCTGCACATACTACCGTCCGGTATTTTTGTTTCGGACTCGTTGCCGACTTCGTAATATCATTTATCTTTTTAAGTATTTCAAGTCTGGAAAATATGCAAGGTGCATGCGCGTTGACCTCTGCAGGCCGCGTTGTAGGCAAATCAAACAGGAAGAAACAAAAGCCGCATCGAATCACATCACGTGCAAGCAGCGTCATAAAACGTAGGTCGGAGAGTCCCTGAGATAGCAGCCTATTATCCGAAAGGCTTAAGGGTTGTTTCTTCTTGTCCTTAACATGCAGCCAAATGTCTTTTCGTGTCCGCCACATCACGCATACAAATCACCCACTTCACACCAACCACCTTAGCCAAGTTCTGTCACCTATCGGTCTACTAGCGACACCTGTAGAGGGAAAATGAAAGTTTACTTTCTGAAATGACCTTTGCTAAATTTCTCCATAATCTAAACTTATTTAAAATGAGTTGGAGGAGAGAGCTAACAGAAGAAGAAAGATTGACAGATATTTCTCTAGTCGGATTGATATTATCTGTCGTCTTTGCTGTTTATACCGACGTAGATAACTTTGCTGGAAGCTAACTGACCAAATGAAACCAATACAAACAAGGCAGCACTCGATGCTTCTATGAGAACAAACATTGAGCGAGGTTGTGGTCTGTATGTAATATCGGACCGGAAAGCACAGTCCTCGAACGAGATAATGAGTTGTTGTAGGATCTAGTAGCACGGCCACTGGTCAATGTGTCCAACAAATCATTATTGGACTCTGTTTCTGTTTGCCATGGACTTAGAAGTATGTGTTCCTGCTTTACCACCGCCTCATCAACTTTCTGAACTTGTTTCGTGACTCAGACGTCTAGATGTCTCCTTCGATAGTAGTAGCTAAAAAAAATAAGAAAGAAAAAAGGGGGTAAAGATTTATTTCGCCTATCCTACACCATTTTTCTGTGGACGAAATGATTTTTTGAACAGTAAACATCTTTAAGCATTAATCGAGTTTAGATTTTGGTTAATATTCTGGTCGAGTATGTCGATGCGCCGATGTTGCTGATCAAATCGGAGAGCGATGTCCTTCTTTGCCACCAAAACCGCTCATTTTGTATAATGGGGATCAGCTGGGAATTCTTTTTAATGGGCGAGAAAATTTTTGGGAGGTTATATTCCCGACCGTGTCATTGTATCGTGTCTCTGTTATAACAGATCACCACCACGGACCATGACGGATCCATCATCGTTTGTGCCTCCAAGCCCACTCAAATTTAAGTAATTACCGGGATAGACGTGGAATTCCTAATCTGCTCTTACATTTTTTTTTCTCTTTTTTTTGTTAGGACACCAACATTTATCCGGATCTTCCTTTTTAACCTGTTAGATGCTGCTTCGCCACATTTAACTAGTTACATTAACGCTATCAGATAGAGCTTTTTCGCAATTTAAAAACTCCTCCACACTAACAGAGGATTAAAAATCTTTTCTGAGAATCCCTCTTCACTCTCCATAACCCAACAGATTGAAGAGGAGAATTCGAAATTTTCGAATAAAGTTTTTCTAGTAGAAGGTAAATAGGGAGCGAATGCATTACAGAATGAAAATATCGTCACTTGTAGCGGATTTGCGATATGATAATTGATTAGTTTCCAAAATGGGAAAGCAGACTGGAGAACATCCTCCTTATTATTCTACAGATATTGCTATAAATCAAGGCAGGCCGACTATTCAAACACAAGTTTTTCTAATCTTTTAGTGGAGGCTGACCAGATACAACTGTGTTGTCCCGTAACGGGTTTTTATTTAATCCAGAGAATTGAATTTCGTCCAGTTGGACAACATAAAACTCTGTATCCAGCAGTAGCACCATTATCTCTCGGTGTCTTGCGGTCTTTCCATCGGCAGCAGATTCATGTATCCCTCCCCGCAGCGGCGAGTTAGCGGGGGATAGTCTCCCGCTCCAATTTTATGGTGACTGGCCATACAATAAGCCTGATAGATGACGGAGAATGGGAGGAGGGGGATGCCACCTTATCGCCAGGCCCTGCCTATCATAAATCGACTTGCTGCTGAGAGAAACTTCTACCGCAACAGAAATGTACACGTCGAAAAGACCTTTCTTGGGGACCGTCCTTGTTTATACCATCGAATAAGCCAGCTACGATAACGAAAATATATGCAGATGTCGAGATATTCAGGCTGTCACCCGATGGCATGACTGATTCTCTAAATTCATTTTAGTTACGCCACTCCGACACATCTTATTTTTTTCCTTTTTTAAACATAATAAATAATGTTCTTGGCAATTCCTCTAATTAAAACAGTTGTAGCATTTTATATTAGACAATCTTTCTTACCTATGTTGTTAGAGATGGCCTAGTTTTTATTTTATTCCGAGATTTCTGCCACTATTTTGATCTCAGAACTGTATGAATAAGAAAGTTTTTCGCCGATGCATAGAATACATTATTCGAAATATGCAAACATATCCCGGATAGAATAAATAGAAACGGAGAAAGCTTTAAAATCTTTTCAATTTTCTACTCCATAAATCGATGAAATAACATTGATTTTTCGATAATCTATGCTTACCATTATGCAATATATGCTAATTCATCAAGGATAATGCGCGGATGAATCTACGCTTCAATTTAAATTCCTTGCTTTTGTTTGTATTATAATAAACAGTAGAATTTAAGGTTAAAAATAAAAATTTTAACATAAATTCTAGCCTAATTAAATAAACTTATATAAAAGATTAAAACCTTTATAATAACTTTTTTACTAATAAAAATTATTTATTTTTCAGGTTTTCTTCTGTTGGGGAACCAGGTATGGATTTTTAAAACTTTTATAATAATAATTTTTAAAGATGTAAGAATATCATTTTTGCTTCTAGTTACAGGATAGATATTTAAGTATTCATTACAATACTATCTGATATGAGAAATGATTAAACGATACTCTTCAACAGTTTTCTTATCAATTTAAACGAGGAGATAAATGAAAATATAACGATTGTCAAGTAATTATAGGGCTTATTAATACTCCTTAATGTCTACGGCCTATAATGTAACATTTATGAGTTAATTTTGCGACCACTTGTCCATTTAACTATCTTTTATCTCATTTTAAATGAGTAACTCGTAAAAGTGAAACGATTCGACAAAGACGTCAAACTAAACTTTAATCTATTATACTTTTTTAAAAATCCGTTCGGTTTAAACGTAGTTTTTTATACATTATCCGATTGAAAAAAGTCGATAAAGGCCCCCCAGTTAATGTTTTCTCTTTCGGTTTTAATACTAAATTTTTGCTTTTTAAATTATACGAAATAAATTCGGCAATAAAAAATTTTTACATGAAAAATATGAGGACGTTAAACATTGTGCAGCGATTTTTATATTATTTATTTTCTTATAAAAACATCTCCTTATAAATACAATTGGAACTCTTAACTCGTGCCAAGGTCTAACCCAAGTCTCAATGTAAATTTATTCGAGAATATAAGTAATAGTTCTAATAATATTAAAAATATAAAATAATTACATTATTTATTTATTTTTTTTATAAATTTAGACTGTAAATAATAAATTTCGATTAACTTTTTGTTAGGCGCTTATAGAAAGGCAAATGAAAATTCTATTAAAATTAGAATAATAATTATAAGGGAAACTTTATTAATTTAGTGAATAGTATTCTAAGCTGTCTACTTTATAAAATAAAAATATTTTATAAATTGTCGAATTCTTAAAGAATAAATAGAGACGTTTGAGTGAAGAATTAGCTTATTTTCTTAAGGTGTAACGTTAGGCATTGGATATATTTAAGAGTTGTACAGTACAATTTGAGAATGAATAAGAAAAAAATATTTAAATTTACAATAATAATTGTTGCAATAAAACGTTTTAAAAACAGTTAATACAAGTCTCTTCCTTATTACTCAATGGCACATTGTATTTTCCATTCATTTGGTCAATAGGCCAAATTTACATTAATAAGACAGAAAATTAGCGATTTATGTAAAAGTAAGACAAGACACGACAAATTATTGTTTATAGATCATAAATATTCATTCAGAGAAACAACAAACAGGAAATTTAGTTGCGTGTATTCAATTAACAAGCTGACTTTAACGCTTAGATTATGGCAATTTGCACGAAAAGATTTTTTTCGGCAACGTGTTGTACCATCATTTATCAAATTTCTCCTTTCTCGAATTTACATGAGAAACTTTTCATTGACTTATGCCGTCTGACGTCATCATAGAAGGCTCTTCGATTAATGGAAACGTGATTTCAAGGCCTTAATTGTGACCAGTTGTCTTGACAACGGCATATCCACACCCAAGGTATTATTGTGAGAAAATAAATTGAACCGGGAGGTTGGTTAACGATTTGTTTGTCCAGGACTCCAGTTTAATCGGGTCATTATAACAGCCTAATGAAAGACATTCCTCCCATCTGCTAGTCCCTACTTGCTTCATTTAGAATATTAGCTATTTTCCTATAGGTTAGAGCCGCTGCCACTTTCTGCCATATTTCCCAATACCGTTTTTCCCCTTTTTTTTTCGTTCATACAGCATAATGATCGATGTCTTGATCGTTATTGGAAAATAATCACGTTTAAAATCTCTAAAAATAAGTCTCCAAATTTAACAGGAGACTTTGGTCGTGCTAAAAACTTAAATGTTTGATCGAAAATTGCACCATTTTTTTACTTAGTAGTGTCTACTTCCAGTAAATAAAACTGTTTTAATATTCCTGATGATGTCGAAGAAAGTTCATTTATTAGACGTGTTTATGAAATTTTTCTCATATTATTTCTTGAAAAATATATTTTTAACTTGTTTAGAATTCTATAAAAATTTAGAAAATTTTTAGTAAAATTTCTTTTTCCCCTTTTTTAAATTGTGAATTTTTATTAGATGATAATGAATTGATTTGTAGATTTATATGAACTTAATCAATTCCCAAGTTAAATTTTAAATATTATACGAAAAATGATAATTTTTTTAAGTTTGATGAATTAAAATTGCTAAATTTATCATTTTAGCTTTTATCAATTCTCTTGGTTCTATAGTTTTACTAATTTTAACATTCTTAATTTCAGCTATTTACTTGCATTCTCGCAATATTGTGTGATTTTTATTCTATTTTTATCTTACCGAAAGTGAAAGGAAATTAGCCCTATAAGTTTTCACGCGTAAATGATGATGCGAATTGTAATGGTTGGTTGTTTACAGTAAATATACAAGCTGGATAGAAAGAAAGGTGGGTTTACTCGGATTGTCGACAACGGACCGGGTCAGAGTACATAGATTAAAGTTCGTGACCCTGTACAGACCACCTCCGAACCACCACAAAACATGATTTTGTACAAGACGAAAAGAGACCATTCTGTCAATCAGTCGGGGTGAAGATTGTTAACGACAGTGGGAACAAAGATGTCTACGGGTTCGCGTCCCATTCGCTCTACCTCGTCACCTCATGAAGGGGCGTCGAGGATTTAGGAAACAGTATTTTTACTATTGTTAGGAGAATTCCACTCAGTTCTCAGTCCCATGCTAGCATTGTACGCAGTGAATAGTGAGCCATGTTTGCATACTTTTTAGACCAACTGTTCGAATTTATACTTCAATGTTTTCTTCTTGAAACCCACCTGGGGAATGCTTTCTTCCTGGCTTGTTTGAGAGAACTGACGGCTACAGGAATCTGCCCTTATTCCCTCTTCTCTGAGGTTTTTTGAATTTAAAATCAGTCACGACATCTGGCATAGATTCTATTCGCAGAGGTTCCCCCGAATTCCCTAATGACCTCAGTCTCTGCTAAACGCACCTATCCCCCTTCCCCAGAACGTTTCCGGTGATGTTCTGTTAAAAAACCATCACTCGGAACCTTTTTTATCTTTTCTTTCGTCTGGGATGCTTCGGGATCCAGATGGAACGATCATCGATTGGACGTTGATCGGAGCAGCTGGTGGTTCGAAAGTTGCTCTGGCAAACTTCGCCCAAAACTTCCAACAGACTTAACTGACTTATCAATACCATTCGTTTCTTCTCTGTTTTGACTTTATCTTTCTTTCCCGGCACGACTATTTTTAAGGAAGAAAAAAACTTCTTACACGAATGACCGTCCCAGCTCTGACCAAATAGAGCAGCGCCAGTTAAAAAGTCATTTCTTTTTATTACCAATTCTAATCCGTTTGAGCAAAATTGTTATTGTATCAATCATTTGCCTTTTTCTCAGTTGCTTTAATCGCTTTTACCGTCTTGTGACGTCAGCCAGCACGTGAGGAAAGATCGCCCACTCTCTCGTACCCAACCAATTAATTTGAGTGGAGAGGTAGTTCATTAGAATTCATTTTTGCCGCCGCCAAAAATAAACTCATTTAAATAAACAATTTATTCAAATTAATGTTTTCAATGTAAATGGGATGCACTCACTTCATCCGAGCTCACAAATTAGGAAGAATGATGTTATTTATGGCTACTGGTCGTTTTTCTCAATGAAAGCAGCCTGCAGCTGAGATTTCGTAATCTTGACATCTATTACCTCAACCTTAATTTGATCTTAAATAAAGAGATAATCACATTTTTCTCTTGCTCGCCGCTAAACGAGATCAGGGTGAAACTGAATGGCTACGCATTGTTCACTTAACTGTTTGTTTTGTATTTATCCCATGTTAAAATGACAACTAAATTTCTATTTTTCACTCCGGGAATTTTACTTCTTTTTTCTCACTAAATGCACCTTTAACATAATTTTATTTAGGCAATAATTAATATCATTTAATTGCTTATTATTCGGAAGAATGCTTTAAACTATTGGGGTGTTTTTAAAGTTAGTGAAGGCAATAGAATCAGTTCATCCCAATGCCGCTACTGCGATCAATGTCCACAATCCGAAGATGGGGGAGACGTGTTTGTGGATGGGAGACTCATTGTTTGTACAAGGAATACATAAATAGAAGAGCCGTTCTAACTCCAACAAACGATTTCCAACGTCCGCAGGCTAACTCTGTCTGGACCTGACTTAATCCCTGACTTCTATCGCCGAGATTTCTATGTTTTCCTACATTTCCCTCATCCCCGCGGCTGGAGCAATCTCCTCAAGCCAAGACAAATATAAAAACATTTGCCTCCTACAGACGTGTCTATGTAGAGTGTGCTTATGATACCCTCAATCCCAATAGCGACACAATAGCGCAATTAAGGAACGATGGCCAAACACGTGTTGGCCTATTGAGCCCGAGTTCATTGCTTTACTTAAGTATGAATATAAAAAAGAAAAAAATTGCACCTTCTAGATTCACGGTAGCTCTTAGATTTTCTGCTATTCCGATGCGAGAAATGAACTTCTAGTAAAATTATGCCCCTGCTTACTTAATGTAGTATTATGACAAAGATTGTAATTGCCGAAGAGGTTTAGTTGGCGGCAATTAAGATTTAATGTTGTCTGTCTCACCCTTCTACTCTTCTACAACAGCTGCAGACGTTCTCTCAACCCCTCTAATTGTTCTTCGGCTATTAATTCGAATTATTTTTCGTTTACCAATTATTATAATAATAATTTTTTCTTCTGTTATCTCTTATCCAATTGGTTATTTTTTGCGTCACATATGCCAATTACGTTATCTCGACTTTTACCCATCGCTATGACGTCATCAAAACGGCGCATACACATGAGATATATTAGCCAATGGGCGGCTTTTACCTGGCACCTTCTGTCGGGTGAGAACTAACTTAGAAATAATAGAGAGGGGCTGTCCATGAAAAGACAATTTGCAGCAGCCACGTTCCGCAACGTCCTAAATTACTTGAACGCCCGCAA